TTCTGACCTTCTTCCAGTCTGAGGAGCTGCAGCCTCCACACCACACAGTGAGACAGCTGGTCAGAACGCTCTCTATGGTGCTTCTGGAGAAGGAGGGGAGGATGGGGGGGCAGGTGGGCTCTCCTCATCCTCCCCAGGAAGTCCAAGCGCTTCTGGGCCCTTTGGACCAGTGAGGTGGTGTTTCCAGTCCAGGTGAGGGTGTCTGTGATGAAGCTGGTGCTGCTGACCACCTCTACAGCTTTTAGAGACATTATGAAAGTTTTTACTGAAAAATATCTTTACAATAGCCTTTTATTTGACCCTTTATGACTAAAACATTGTTCGATAAAGACTCAGTAGTTCAGTATCTATAAAGTTTTTCCTATTTTCCTAAATTAACTTCGGGTCAGACGTTCTCGCACTTTTTGGAGACCTAGCAAACAAAGAGTAGCTCTACTTAAGGACTGGATTCTGTCATCCCTGATCTGAGCAACCTATCAGGACCCCCTGCAGTGTGCTTATCGCCATGGAGATGGAGTTGATGATGTCATCATTTATACAAGGCAGACAGCACTGTGAGGATCATGATTCCTCCAGAACATTTAACACCATTCAGCCTCAGATGGAGATGAAGACTCAGGTGGAGGCATCAACAATCACCTGGATCAAAGACTACCTGACAGACAGACTGAAGGCTCAGCTGTCTGATCCAGCAGCACAGGAGCACCACAGGGGATGGTACTCTCTCCATTCCTTTTTCCTCTGTTCACCTCTGACTTCCATGACCAGACAGAGTCCTGCCATCTGCAGAAATCCTGGATGACTGCAGTCACTGGAAGCATCAAAGATGGTCTGATTATAGGCAGAGATCTGATCCACTTCAGGAGTGAAAAGACCGTTTTAAAGCAGTTTGGAGATCTGGGACAGGTCAGCTCTCTGACAAACACAGCAAAGGTTATTTCTGTTGTAGATGAGGGAGTGAATTCATAGATGTTATCCCTTACTGGTANGACCAGTGAGGTGGTGTTTCCAGTCCAGGTGAGGGTGTCTGTGATGAATCTGGTGCTGCTGACCATCTCTACAGCTTTTAGAGACATTATGAAAGTTTTTACTGAAAAATATCTTTACAATAGCCTTTTATTTAACCCTTTATGACTAAAACATTGTTTGATGCAGACTAACGCCTCAGTAGTTCAGTATCTATAAAGTGTTTCCTTTTTTCCTAAATTAACTTCGGGTCAGACGTTCCCGCACTTTTTGGAGACCTAGCAAACAAAGCGTAGCTCAACATAAGGACTGGATTCTGGCATCTCTGATCTGAGCAGCAAACCAGCAGCTATCAGGACCCCCTGCAGTTTGCTTATCGCCATGGAGATGGAGTTGATGATATCATCCACCTGCTTCAGCCAACCCACTGTCAGTTAGACAAGGCAGACAGCACTGGGAGGATCATGGTCTTTCTTTGATTCCTCCAGAACATTTAACTCCAGTCAGCCTCAGATGGAGATGAAGACTCAGGTGGAGGCATCAACAATCACCTGGATCAAAGACTACCTGACAGACAGACTGAAGGCTCAGCTGGCTGATCCAGCAGCACCACAGGGGACGATACTCTCTCCATTCCTTTTTCCTCTGTTCACCTCTGACTTCCAGGACCAGGCAGAGTCCTGCCATCTGCAGAAATACTGGATGACTGGAGTCACTGGGAGCATCAAAGATGGTCTGATTATAGGCAGAGATCTGATCCACTTCAGGAGTGAAAAGATCGTTTTAAAGCAGTTTGGAGATCTGGGACAGGTCAGCTCTCTGACAAACACAGCAAAGGTTATTTCTGTTGTAGATGAGGGAGTGAATTAATAGATGTTATCCCTTACTGGTAGAACGGAGAATATTTGCTTTGAGGTGAAGGAGCAGGATCCTAGGAGGAGGAACAGGTTCCTGGAAGCTGGTAGGAGAACGTCCTTCTCCAGGAGCAATTCAGGCGAAGGTGGAGGAGGATGAGGAGGTTCAGTCTGAGCAGGGGTGGATTTAGGAAAAGACAA